AAAAAGCTTGAGCGCTCTAGGCAACTTTCTTGCTTGTCCTGGCCAAGCTCTTCTTGCGCTGGCCGATCATGTACGTGTAGAGAAAAGGGACACCTAGAGGCCACAAAGAATGAGAGTGCGCTCTTTTTCTTCGTAAAATACCTGGAACGTAGAGCAAGAGCACGAGCAGGGACGTGTAGTAGTATGAAAACGCGAAGTTGAAGGCGTTGGGCATCTCGATCGAGTACTTCTTCGAGGACTGCGACAACCAAAGGTCATCGATGGGATCAAATCCAGATTTTGCTTCTTCCAAAACTGGATTTTTTACTGACTAACCTTCATGTGAGAGAGAGCAAGCATGGTGAGACCCACTTCGCCAGAGATTCCGGTTGGATACAAGACGAAGAAAGTGCTGTACCTGGAGACATCGATCCAAAAAAAAATGTTAGAAAAACCACCCAGTTTGTCAAAGATCTGAGATCTCACTCACCGTAGCCAATGCAGAAAACCGGGTGTCAAGCCAAAAGCCTCCTTTGCAGCGAAAAACGAGTAGCGAATTACCTCTGTTACCGACCAGCTGAGAACGAGAAGCGTCACAAGCCAATGCGACCTCGTCTGTGCAACAAAGAAAAGTAAGAACACCAAAAAAAAAGTTCCTTTTTATTTCTTCCCAACTCATGGGAGCTTGTAAGATCTTACTACCTCTGGGAAACTCCAGAGAACACCCCACGTAACGAAGAGGCGTGAAGAGATCTGAGGCAGAGTTGCACTGACGGGCGAGCGCACAATCCCTGCATTCATCATCGTCTCACAAGTCACGAAACAAGAACACAAAAATCTTACCAGCGAGGCTGTTGATTATCTACACGGCTCACAAGCATCTGGACGTCAGGAAAACGAAGAAACGAAGAAACGTAGGCTTGGATCTCACCTCGAGGATCGCTGCGGTTTGCGAGAGCTGGAGGGGCAATTCAATGGAGTCATAGACAGCAGAGTAGCCGGATCCGTTCAAGGCCGCGAGAGCTCGAACAAGCACGGAAGCCCTGCGAGAGCGATCACACGAAGGAAGCGCAAAGGCATATATCTTACCACCCAGCACAAAGAATGCAGTTGTAGAGCGCCAAGTAGACTCTCCGGATGCTCCAAGCGTCCGCCATAGCCAGAGCTTTTGCTCGGCTTGCCTCTCTTAAATGACCGTTTTCACGCAAGAACCCTAAATCTGGAGCTTCAAGTTTTCTTATAAGTTTTCTAGCTCGACACACACGACACCAACCGTAGCGATTGATGCGTAGCTCTCGACAGGAGGCTACTTCTCCTTCTCCCCTGCACGGACAGGGGCAAACAGCCCATGGCTTTGCCGCAGCTCGCGATTTCCTCATCGCCATCGTTGTCTTCCCCTTCGTCTTGGGCATCTTGAAAACCAATCTCCTCGTGCTGGCAATCGCAACCGATTTCTCCGGGAACTTCCTGGATAGCATGAGCTTCCCGGGCCTTGAGCGAGCAAGCTGTGGGCGATGGAGGCGAGAGATCCCGGTCCAGCTGCGTGGAGAGCGCGACCAGCTCGTACGAATCGAAGAGCAAACTGCCGCAATCCCACTTGAGGAGATAAGGTGCTCGCGGAGTGAAGCGCTGCTTGGGTATGATCATGGGATGATCATCGATGACCGGAGCTTGCTGGCGCCGCCGGGATTCCGCGAGGAAGCGAGACGCCTTGGTGTGCCAAGTCCTCCGCTCCTCGATCGTTTTGGCGGAAAGGACGCTCGCTGCTGCTCCTCCACCGTGCAAATGCCACGCCCAAGCTGCTGCTTTGCACAGGCTCGCGGCCTCGTCCTTGTCCCTGTCCCTCCGCGATTTCATCGCGCGCGATTGATCGATCTAGAGGGCTCTAGCTCGATCTTTAAAATATCTGGCTGGGCAACTGGCGAGCCCGCGATCTGTGATATTTGCGAGTCTTTTCGGGGAAAAGAGATGTGATCGCACGGATCGATGGAGAATGACGATCTTTTATACGAGAGTAACACTCCCGGAGTACTGTTAATCATGAAAAAAAAAATTAAAATGATAGGAAAATATCACACCCACCGTGGCAACATGGAACTTGTGCAAAGCGCGAATGCTACTTGACAAGCCCACGCTATTTCCCTTTTTTGTTACGCGACGTGGACGCGAATGGTGACCTGGATCCCGCGTCATCGCCACGTCACCCGCGAGCCCTAAAGCTTGAGGTCGCGAGAATGCGGAGCTAGCTGCGGTGTCCCTCTCGTCGGATCTGGTAGGGTGGGAGAGCGCGGAGATCTTCTGCTAGGGCTTCGCGAGGGACTACTCACCTAGAATCTAGAATGATGTAGAGGAGGGGGGCGAGTGGGGGATTAGCTTGGATCTCTGATGATCACGCACAGGAGATCTTTGGAGCGATGGCAGTGTTTTAGGGTTTTGGGATTGCCGCTCGACAATGGCCACGCGCAATCGCACAGCTCTGTTTCGCAAGTACCGCACTGCCCTACAGCAAGTGCGGCCAGCGTCAGCGTCCACGTCGGCACAAGGCGCTGTCGTGGAGCTCTCCAATGCGCCCCTCCTGCGAGGGGCTGCTTCCGGATATAACAGGCTCAGCACGGTGGACGTGGATGGCTCCAGGTAGAAATTTTTTTTCTGGATTTCTTTGCTCGATTCAACTCAAACTTCTTCTTCGTTTTCCTCTTTTCTTGTTGTGCTTGATCTCCACCAGGGAAGGTGTTGTATCGGTGGGATTGCCACCGCCTTGGGTTGATGTCTCGGAAGAAGTTGCAATCGACATGCAGAAGATCCGGTCCAAGATGGGAGAGTTGGCCAAAGCTCATGCTCGAGCGCTCATGCCAACGTTTGATGACATCAAAGGTAAAGGCCAAGAACACAACATAGAATTGATGAGTCAAGACATAACCAGACTGCTTAAGAAATGTGAACAAAAGCTGAGGCAGCTTTCTCAGGATCGAGGACACTCGGAAGACATGAAGCTGCGTGTGAATGTGCAGGTTTGTATTCTTTCTTCTTTTTCTTGGATTGCGGTGGACCAACATGTTTCGCTGTGAGCAGAGATCTCTGGCGACCGACCTCCAAACTTTGTCCGTTGAGTTTCGCAAGCATCAGAAAGGCTACTTACAGCGTTTGCAGCAGCAGCAGCAGCAAGAGGTCAGTCAGTGTTTTTTTTTTCTCTCTGGATCGCATTTTAGCTCACGGTGTTGGTGCTTTCTTTCTTGGCTTTGCAGCGTGCATCCATCACTGCGTCATACGAGCGGGGAAAAGAGGACGAGTTTTATGACCCGGTAAGCACTCGCGCTTGTTTACTTTCTGGTTTTTCTCTAAACTGAAAGGTGGACTGGCTTGTTCCAGGGATTCAACGAGCAACAGATGTCCCGGCTCAAGAAGGCCGAGGTGCTGAGCGAGGAACGGGAGAAGGAAGTCCAACAGGTACTCTACTCATTGCGTTGTTTGGGAAAAGTTTTCCAATGCAGCTGGTCTGTGCAGATAATGGAGTCTGTGAACGATCTCGCGCAGATCATGAAAGACCTCTCCACGCTTGTAATCGATCAGGTATGCGTGTGGTATCAGGAGCTTAAGTTCTCAATCGATCATTTTCTTTGAAAAAACTCAGGGAACTATAGTCGATCGAATCGATTACAACGTCCAACAAGTGGCCACCTCGATCGAGCAAGGAGTCCGAGAGCTAGAACAGGTCTGTTAGATCTCTCGCTTGTCATTCTCGCAACGCTAAGATCTTCTTTTTGTGTCAATGAACAGGCCGAAAGAACGCAAAAAAAGGGAGACATGGTTTTTTGCGTCATGGTTTTGATCGCACTGTGCGTCTTCATGATCTGCGTGCTCATTTTCAAGAAGCTCGTCTTGTAGCCTAGGACAAAAGAAGTGAGCTCCAAATTTTTTGGAATAAAAAAGAGGGAAGTGAAGATTTAGGGTTTGTTCTTGCGGCTTCCCCGCGATGGCCGACGATGCGATTCGCTACGAGAGCTACAAAGGCGAGGAGCAGCTGCCGCTGGTGATGAGTCTCGTCGACAGCGAGCTGAGCGAGCCCTATTCCATCTTCACGTATCGGTATTTCATCACTTTGTGGCCAAATCTCTGTTACCTGGTAAGAAATTCGCCTCTAGAATTTCAAAGCTATCGATATGATCGTGGAAATCGTCTCATCGCAGGCTTTCGACAAGGACAAATGCGTGGGCACTATAGTGTGCAAGATGGGCCACCATAGAAACTCCTTTCGCGGTTACATTGCAATGCTGGTGGTGATCACGGCGTACCGAGGCAAAGGCATAGGTTTGTAAGAACAAAAAAAATTGGCAAACAAGCGCGATGCTTCCTTCTTTTTCTCTTGGTTTTCCCAGCCACGGAGCTTGTGACGAGGTGCGTATCGGTGATGCGGGACTCTGGGTGTGACGAGGTTAGTGGAGACTTCTCTTTCGACTTCTCTTCCTTTTCTTTTTCTAAATTGTTCTTTGTGTGTGTGTGTGTGTGTGTCGTGGATCATGGACAACTATGCATCACTATCAATTCTCATAGTTTTTTGTTCTTTCAGGTGGCGCTCGAGGCAGAAGTGAGCAACGTAGGAGCACTCGCGTTGTATGGAAATCTCGGTTTCCTGCGAGCCAAGCGGCTGGACAAGTACTACCTCAACGGAGTCGACGCCTTCCGCTTGAAGCTGCGGTTTCCCAGGCCCGATTCAGCGCTACTGGACGAAGCCGAGCAGTCTTACGAAGTTTACAGCGACGACCACTCGCACTCGCACTCGTGCTGTTCTCACGACCATCACCATCACTCGCACGGCCATCACCATCACGGTCACGAAATCGAGGAGCACGGACATGGACACTGCTCGCATCACCACCACCACGGCCACGAACACCCGGGCTGCTGCTAGTCGTGCTGCCAATACAAGTGTCGAGGTAAGAGAAAAGGGAGAAAAATCATAGAAAAGTTTTGGTATTGTCAATCTTTTTATATAGCTACTTACAATGTGTACAGGACTTCGTGCTGCGTTGCGTTGCATTGCTTTGCGTTTAGCAGCGCCAGGCAGAGGCTGCAAACAGGGTACGCGACTGCCACCCGAGCGTCAGGCAACCGGCAGTCTCTTGGATGGTGTGACCACCCCCTGGGAAAATGGTCAAGAAGGTGGCAGCCTGGTTGTAAGCATTGGACCCGAGGTGCCTCGGTTTGAAGCCCATGCCGGACATCCGCCGAGTCCACTGCTCCAGCCGCTCGTGCCTCTCGACTCGGGCTCTGCCTTCGCACGCAAGGATGTTGACGATCTCTCGGCCCAGGTGGGCTTCGGACTCGAGAACCGCTTGCTCCACTTGACCGAACTGCTGGTAGATTGAATCGAAGATGGCGGAGTAGTAGTGGAGGCACTCGTTGAAGCGGTTGTCGAAGTCGGGGCTGTTGTGGCTGGCATCCTGCTCGAGCAGCGTGAAGATCTTGGGAGACAGGCGTCTCACCGATGCCAGGACCGAGTCGAGGCTATCGTCAACGAGGCGGTGAAGGTGTAGCATGGAGTTTACAGCCAGAGCCTCGCCGGGGTAGACCAGGACGGAGGCGATGGAGTTGACGGTCTGGAACTGGAGATCGACGCCTATACTAGCCGCGAACCGAGCGAGCCTGTTTCCAGTGTGGTGGACTTGGAACTGGAGGTGGTCGGGGGCGATGGCGGTCAAGCGGAGGGACGGAGGCCCCCCGGGCCGGATAGCCAGCATCTGGATGAGCGGCGGCCACTGGACACCCAGCCCAAACTCGAAGTCGATGATGTGCACGCTCCGCTCCTCCTCGAGCTCCTCGTACATGGCTTGGTTGGCGGTGAAGTGGCCGAACTTGAGGAAGGGACAGGTCCGGTAGAAGCTCTCGAGGAATGCTGGATCGGCTTCCTCGGCTTGTGCTGCTGGGAGAGAACCAAAGAGGATCCGGCGAGAGAGACCCTCGACGAAGTAAGCAGCCACTCGGCCGATAGCTCCAGCGCTGTCACCCATGGAGAGTAGCAGCATGCGGATCTGGTTGAGAAACTCCTCGGCCTTGGCAGACTTGTCATCCTCTCGGCCAAGGCAGGCTCCACAAGCGAAGAGCAAGTGGATGAGCTTGAGCCCGTTTGCCTCTTGGTCGTCCTGCTGCTCGTCATCGGTCTGGGTGTGGATCATGTGGAGAGGCAGCGCGCTGGTGGTGGTGGCGATCCTGCTCGAGTCGTGAGGACAAGAGCTAAACAGAGATGGCGGCGAGGGGCTGCTGCTGGTGTTATCTTGCTGCGAGTCTAGCGGACTACCTCGGGTTTGCTGCTCGATGAGGCTGTCGATCCAGCCGGAGATGTCGGATGGGTTGGAGTGGACCACGTCCTGATCGAAGCGCTCGACTCCGAGGCTCTCGAGCCGCTCCATTCGATCTGCGAGTTGAGGGAGCTCCGCTTGTGCGACGGCGTAGCCCGTGTCCGCCAGCATGCTGTCGAACATCGCCCAGTTGCCCATCTTGCCCCTCCGCTCCTCTCAAAACTGGACGAGAGCGAGCGAGCGAGGAAAAAAAAGAGAGAGACAGAGAGAGGGGGGGAGCGGTCGCTACGAGATGGGTTAAATGGACGGTGGCGGCCGCGCGCATCGGAGGGAGAGAAGGCTGCCACGTAGATAATTCGCGGACAATGTGAATGGGACGGACGAGGGGCATATTCGCCCAGCTTTGAATATTAAGATAATAGAAGTTACGAGAGGTAGTTTACGTGGACACCCAACCATCCGGTCATGGTGACCACGGACGCTATGTGCTCCCAAAACAGTATCGCGGAGGCTTCTTGCTCGGCGTAACCTTGGAGGCTGGCCACCGCTCCTGCGAAGATTTGCAGTGTTAGTTCGATCCATTCATCCAAAATCCTTGGATTTTACCTGCGAGAATGGAGGTTGGCATCGAGTGCTGGAGCAGCAGCACGAAGCGGAACATCTTGTTGTTGGGTGGTAGCAAGTTGAGCTTCTCGGCGAGTGAAACCACGGCAATGCCCATTGGAGGCACCAGCACCAGCCTCACCACCGTGATGGCCACCGTCGTCTTGAGTCCCAGCTCGGACGCTCCAGGTCCTGGAAACAACAGTGGCGAGTGAGTAAACTAAAGTTCCGGATTCGTATCGCTCCAACCTTTGACGAGATTCCCTCCGAGGACGAGCATGATGCATGGGATCATGGCTCCACTGATCCACAAGAGCAAGCAGCTTACGAGAAAAACAAAAAGTGCCATGCCATACCCGAGGATGTTGAGGCTGTCGGAGAGGAAGTAGAACACCGCATCGTCTTCCAGGAAGAGCATCTTGAGGAATGGCGTTGCTCCAAACACCAGTGCCAGAAGCTGCACAAAATCCACTGTTTCCAGCGACTGAAACGAGAAAACAAAACGCGATCTCTCAACGTACAGATGCTGCAACCGGTGGCTGAAGTATGTCTCCAATTCTCGCGCTCTGTAGCCACAGCTTGATTCGGGCCACGGCCTGCGACACTTTCCGGCACTGTTGAGAAGATCTCACACAAGAGTCGAGTTGACAACTTACTTTGCTGTTCGTGGATGGAACAACATTGTCGCTTTCGCTTGCGTCGCTACTGCTGTGATCAACAAGGAGAGGCTCTCGCGACTTGGAGGCTTCTTCCTCTTCAGAAGCAGGAGGTGCTAGCATCCTGTACACGAACGTGTAGACGATCACTGCCCCCACCTATATACAGAAGTAGAGAAAACATCAGAAGCAAAAACAATGGAACATACGCCATGAGCTCTACCAGGAGCAAAACTGGAATACGTACCCACTGTCCATAGGATATATACGCAACGCCGTCAGTGTTGCAAGTGTCTGGATCGTTGAAGGGGTTGTTCTTGTCCCGGCAAATCGCTCCAACGAGAACCAAAGGTATGTTTCCAATGTTTCCTGCGGGGACATGATTCATGGAGCTCCGGGACCCAAAAGCAAGCGAGCGAGGAAGAACATACCAATGCCGATCATGACGATGGTGAACTTGAAGAAGCGCGGCGGTGGCTTGATGAGCAGCGCCACGAGCAGGCCGAGCAAACAGCCCAGTGTGGAGGAGATAAGTACGTTGACTGGGATGAACCACCTGTTGACAAAAAGGACCACGTAAGTTCCGGTAGTCAGCGCTTCTTGACTACCATTCCAGCAGCTTCTCTAGGGTCACTGCTGTTCCGAGTTGTGTGAAGATGAGACACGGCAAGAACACTTGGAAGACGAGCTGGAACAAGGCAGCCATGGATGGATCTACATGGAGTGGGTTGCTTCTCTCTTACCTTGCTCAGCTGCTTACGCGATGTGGCGTTGAGGATGTTGATGTAGGAGGAGGCCATGAGCAATCCCAGCGCACACATGACCAGAACTTTGGCGATTGGAAGCACCGAAAACTGGAGCAATCGCGTCAGGGACTCGGGCTGCGCCTCCATTGCAATGCTCTTCCTTTTTCGACATGAAATTCCTAGACAAAGGCGCTTCCTCTCGCCCTAAACCCGGTCCCAATCGTCGCTCACACACTAAAAATCTCTTCTTTTTTTTTTTTTGGTCTAAACACCATCCAACAAAGGCAAAACTATTGACAGCGACTCTCAAGCAAGAGTTTTATACAAACTTAAGCTAACCCTTTATTTGTGTAGCCAAAAAATAGTTCCAGCCGAGGAGCTGCGAGAACATAGATCTAAACGTATAGCATCGATCAATCTGGGAGAAAGAGAATGGAAGGAAAAAAAAAAAGAAGAAAAAACAGAAGAATCGCCCACCATCTGGATGAACGAATAAATGTGTGGAGCGGTGGTGTCACTCGAAACTTGCAAAAACACCACCATGCACCACCAAAAATCGGCTCGATCGTCTCGACCGCCTCGCTTCGATCACGCGCCGCTCGACACCTGCCTTTGGAAGAACCGTGTAGCACCGTAACAAGCGTCGAGGGGCCGGCACGGAGTGGTGAGGTACAAAGGCACGCTAGTGGCCGCTGGAGGTGTCGGAGTCATCGTCGTCTTCCCCGATACACTCCCAATCCGGTCCCGACCATCGCGATCAACACGATGTTTCGATGATCCCACTGCCGCATCGTCCTCCGCCACCCTGTCCTGGCCATCGTTCAAGAGCCCCTCCAAGAACCCGGTGTCGCTATCGCTGCTGCTCGAGCTCGTCGTCGTCTGCCACGATCTCCACGATCCCAAGTCGGCGTTGATGCTGCGACGCCCCAGCTTCACCCTCGCAAGGCTGCTTCCCGGCGTCGGCGACACCTCCGCCACCACCACCTCTTCCTCCTCCTCCTTGTCCACCGCGCTTGCATGCTCAACGATCCACTCGTGATCTGGAACCATCAAACCAAACAAAAGCTTAAGTTCCTTCCCATCGATCAACTCGAACTCGACGAACTTACTGAGGATTTGAGCCGGAGTGAGGCGCTTGCTGGGATCCTGGCACAGCATCCCGCGAACGAGGCGCTTGACCGAGGCGGAAAGCTTTGGCCAGGGATCGCTGGAGAGGTCAAGGTGGCCATAGCGAATAGCATCAAAGATGCCCTCCTCCGTCTCGTCCCAAAACGGTGGGACGCCACAGAGCATCACGTACAGTACCACGCCCGCGCTCCAAACGTCCACCTCTGGCCCGTACTCGCCCCTCAAAACCTCTGGAGCAATGTAGTACGCACTGCCAGCCATGCCCGAGTGCGTCTCGCCTGTAACATTGATCGATCAATCGAAGCGTTAGAACTAGGCAGTGGAAAGAGAACCGCCACCCTCTCTCACTCCACTCCAACCAAATCTCTTCACTCGAATCTCATCACCACTCCACTAGCACCACCATCAAAGCACCAAGAAATAAAGAAAACCCTTCTTTCTCTCCCTCTCTCACCTGGGTGGAAGTGGACAGCGAGGCCGAAATCCGCGACTTTGATCCGCGAGTTGCTCGCCGCATCCACCAGCAGGATGTTCTCGGGCTTGAGGTCCCGGTGGATGATCCCGCGCGCGTTGCAGCACTGGATCACCTCCACAACCGTCTTGCACACCCGCGCCGCGTCGCGCTCGCAGTACATCTTCCTCTCCACGATCCGGTCGAAGAGCTCGCCGCCCTCGCACAGCTCCATCACCATATGGACGGACTCGTCGTCCTCCACCACGTCGCGCAAGCCCACAATGTGTGGATTCCCGGCCAGCTGCTGCATGATCTCGATCTCGCGCTGCACGTCGCGCACGTCCCCCGTCGACGTGAGCTTGGCCTTGGCGATGGACTTGCAAGCCAGGCGCTCGCCGGTGGATCTATGGCGGCACAGCCGGATGACGCCGAACTGGCCCCTGCCCAGCTCCTCGCCCAGCTCGTAGTTGTCGCCGATGCCCTGGTCGCTCGCGCCCGCCACGATTCGGCAGCGCCCACCGCCGCCGCCGCCGCCGCCGCCACCACCGCCGCCGCCGGGGTGAATGGAGCAAGTGTGGCACAGCACACGGGGATCTTCACTCTCGGCGCCCAGGAGCAAATCGCACAGGCTCAAGCAGCAAGAGTTGCCCATCCGAGGAGCAACACCGACACGAGATCCACGGATCGGTGCCGCGCATCACAACAGCTGGCTCGCTCGCGCGCGCGCTCCTCCGCCCCTCTTTCACCCTGCGCCGCTGGCAATCGATTGATGGGGGAGAAGATGGAAAGCCTGGAAAAACGAGTGGGGATTTCTGGCGCGCCCTGCTCGCCTGGATGCGATTTGAGAGAGGGGGAGAGAGAGAGATCCGTGGAGCTTTCCTCGCGCCTTTCATAGAAGCTGCCACTGGCGCCGAGATCCTTCACTTGGCCATGGCCACACACGCCTGTGTGATTTTTCTTTTGGACTCGGCTCCACAGTCTCGTGACGTGTGGCGATTCCATTGCCACGTCGGCAGTCACGTGGAAAACGACGTCCGTACCCTTTTGTGCACTTTTCGGTACAAAATAAGTTTGACTCGAGTCATTGACAATTGACTCGAGTTGACTCACGATTGACTCGAGTTGACTTACTGAAAACAAACAATTGTGTGGGTTTGATTTTTTTTCACTTTGCATTGTTTTTCCACCGACTGAAATTGTAAGCGAGCGAAAAGCCAACTGAGTTTATGGGTCAACTTTGCGTTGAATAAGCGAGCGAAAAGCCAAAGTTTGTGGGTCAACTCTGCGTTGAATAAGCGAGCGAAAAGCCAACTGAGTTTATGGGTTAACTCAGCGTTGAATAAGTTTGCTCAACGCATCACTTGACCGGAAGGGCAGCTGGGTAAGTAAGTCCCGCAGATAGCGACGCATCGGCAGCTGCGAGAGGAAAGGTTCTAAAGTGTGCACGTAAGTTCTTCCAACCAATGTCTCATTGAAAACCTCTTTCTTTCTCTCTTTACCTTTCCTCTCTCTCGAGAGCCGCAAAGTGAGCGAGATAGGACAGCTATGGTGGATTCGAGAATTATGGTGTGGACGTCCATAGCAGGGATCGCCGGAGCTCTCTGGCTCGTGGCGCTTGTTTACTGGCGATCATGGAGGTTCCGGAAGCTGGAGAGGCTCCCCCCTGGAAGCATGGGATGGCCTCTCATTGGGGAGCTCATTCCTTACGTGACGATTGCTCGCTCCGAGGCTCCTTACATCTTCCCAATGGAGAGGGAAAAGAAGTACGTATACAATGATCTTGTTGCTGGATTGTGAATGCTGATATGATCTTTGTGTGGAAAGGTATGGGACAGTGTTCAAGACGAGCTTGCTCACGGGCAAGACGATCATGATCACGGACGTGGAGGGCGTCAAGTTTGTGCTCCACAACGAGGGGGTGCTGTTTGAGTCTGGCTACCCTCGGTCGCTCAAGGACGTGCTGGGAGAGCACGCAATGCTCTTCCAGCACGGCGAGCTCCACAAGAGAATGCACGCCATGCTCAAGAGGTTTGTGAGCTCCACGCCTCTCAAGAAGCACCTCACTCGCGAGATGGAGCTCCTGACCAAGCAAGGGATGAGTACGTGGAGCAGGGGCACCAAGATCTTGCTCCAGGACGAAATCCAGAGGGTACATTAGCATATATGATCCTCGTATAGTAATCTTGTAAAACTCTTGCCAGATCACGCACGACTTTCTGATGAAGCAGCTGTTTGGCCTGGAACCAGGCAAGCTCTCGGCAACGATCTTCGAGGAATTTAACAGGCTCATGGGGGGTATAATTGGAATCCCATTGATGATACCAGGGACTCCATACCACCGGGCCATGAAGGTGCTCTTCATGCTTCTTTTGCGTAGATCTAAGTGACTTTGCTTCCAATCTTTCAGGCACGTAAGAAGCTGACCAAGATCATAAGTGGCATGGTAGCGTTCCGGAGATCTCGGCCCGACATCGAGCACAAGGACATCCTCAATGCCTTGATCGAGGAGATTAAGCAAGAGGAGAGAGACGCGGACCAGATCATCGTCGACAATGCCCTCATCAACATTGCAAACGCAGAGGGCATTCCAGCGGTTATCATCGCCTTTGCAGTCAAGAATTTGTCGGAGAATCCCAAAGCTCTGGAACAGATCAGAGTAAGAACTATTCATCCCTGGCTAACGCTGCATGGAACTCTTGTCTCCAGGAGGAAAACCTTGCGATCCGAAAGGGAAAAGATCCAAGCGAGGGTCTAACATGGAATGAATACATGTCGCTAGATTTCACTCACGCGGTATATGCCCAGACTTCAGACAAACTTTGTTTCTACGCATTGTTTGAGCGCAGGTTTTCAATGAGACACTCCGCCTGGCAAATGGGGCTCAAGGAGTGATGAGAAAGGCACTCAAGGACGTGGAATTCCGAGGTGAAATCTTCCGACTTTTTGGGAAGTGTTACACTATGGTGTTTTCTCTCTTCCAGGCTATGTGATCCCAAAAGGCTGGACAGTTCTTCCTTATTTTCTCAACATTCACTTCGATGAGAAGATGTTTCCACAGCCCACCAAGTTCCACCCCTGGCGCTGGTTAGAGGTATTAAGCACTAGTTCTCATTCTTGCAACTTGCAACTTGGTTGCATCAGAAAAGCATTCCATCATCGTATGTGCTGCCGTTTGGAGGAGGAGCGAGACTTTGCCCGGGACAAGAACTGGCCAAAGTACAAACTGCAGTGTTTCTTCATCACTTTGTGACTCAATTCAGGTCTGTCCAAATGCCCCATCCTCCGAATTCTCAGTGCTTCCTTGGTGCGTATGTGTGTAGATGGGAAGCGGAGCCAGAGAAAGTGATCAACTTCCCAAAGATCAGCACCAAGAACCATTTACCAGTGGTGTTACACGATCTATAGACACTCAAGACAGCTTCTCCATCTCTAGAGTTACTACATGAAGTTCCTTGGCGTTCAAATTCTGCTTCTTGCAAAGATCGAACTCATCAATTAATAGTTCGTGTCTGTGGATTCACAAGCAGCAAAAGAAAAAAGGAAGCTACAACTTTAAGTCAGTCTGAGTAGTAACTCTCTCCACACAGTCGTCAACAAGCAGCAAGGCACTTGTCTAGCAGAAGAAAAACTTGGCCCGCCAACTTCTGTTCTTCTGTCACCTGTGACAGCGAGATCGCGTGTGGTGGGGTCGAGAAAATTCCCATTGAATCGTGAGATCGCGTGTGCCAGAGCCGAGAAAGTTCCAACGATGAACCAACTTGGTTAGTTTTCGAGCTCTAGATTTACTAATGCCAATGCCGGCCTGAGCCTGGATGATCTCGGATTGTGAAAGAACACAAGAATCCCCTTGGCGTCCTTGCCAAAGCTCTCAGCGGATTCAGCTTCTTGCCAATGCCGGAGCTTGCAAAGTTGGCTGGCGTCGCAAAACGCGATGGCCGCGTCTCCACTGCATAAACCATGCAACACAATGAACAGCGAGTTCACAAAAAAAAGAAGAGCCAACCTTCGCCATGGAGGTGCTGAAGTAACGAAACCAATCCTGTCCCGGATCTCACTTCCGTCCTGGTTCTCAATTTCCAAACCTTGCCACTTCTGCGCTCTGATCAGATGAAAACATCAAGCATAAACACGCAAATCCTGAAGAGCTCAGCTCACCTGTCAAGCCACCCATGGAAGTCTTGCAAAGTTGGAGCATAGAGAAGACAGCCTTCTTCCGGAACACCCTTCCGCACAGGCTGGATCATCACCTTGAGGTAGCAGGCTCCGGGTGTGGAAGGCATGGTCCAGCTAGTAGCAGTCACTGGCTTGAACTGGGAGAGAGTTAGATCGTGTAATTGCAGATACGCCGAGAGCACAAGCGCCGTTCGCGGGACAAACAGCGAGACTTTGCTCTCCTCTCGATCCACGGGCATTGGACTTTGTTCCATCTCTTCATCGCCGTCTCTATCATGGTTTGAGAGTTCTTTGTTCGCCAGACAGTCTGGAAAGTCGTGCGGGAATGAAGATATCCCTCCCTGACAAGCCAAAACACGAGTTTGAGTTTGACAGACTAAAGACTTTCGAGAGCCAACGTACGTGCGTCATGATCCAGCGTCGTTCTGCCTGACCGATCACACGAGCTCCAGCAAGCACTAGCGACATCCAGAATGCGTGGACCCAGCTCTTGGGAAGAACAAGCCAGCACCTTCAAGTTTCAGAGTTGAAGTGATGGTGAGAAGAAACAAAAGCAAATAACTCACCCGTTCAAGGCTTTTTGCTGGTATTTCATCAGCAAAATGGGACATTTCTTCCAGGAGGGAGGCTCCGCGTCCTTGGTTTCCAAGCGAAAGTGGGACAAGCGATGAGCTTGCTGCCTTTTGTTTACGGTCTTGTCAGATGGTGGAGGCTCAACAGCACTGGACGGACCCCATAGTCTCGAAGTGCTGCCTTGTTCGGCCTTTGGTTGTTGATCCATGACAGCTCGCCAGTATGTTGCGTCCAGATTGTTGATAGTCTCCTCTACTTGTGGGACAGGAGGCTCGTTTCTCGTCGTTTCGTTCTCGACAGGGACAGCCGGATCGCTCTCTAAAAGGAAACGATGTCGAGGGTCACAAACTTCCAGCTCTACACATGCCTGCTTTGAAAGTTTGCTCAAAAGTCCTTCAAAAGAAGACGTGCCATCAGACCTGCAAAGTTTTTTCAAGTCAGTCCTTGAATGAAAAACAGACTCTGTGACGCACCCAGGTTTCATCACTTTATCCAGAAGTTGGAAAGTTTCTTTCCCAAAAATCTCCAAAGTAGCAAGCTCGTCTTTCCTCGACTTACACGTAACACTAGAAATGCCCTGCAAAGTAAAGCTCGTGGAGTGTTATAACTGTTAGACGACGCTAGCGAAAACGTTCACAAACCTGGGAAGCGTTTTGCACAGCCTCGAAGACCTCATCAAATGCAGCTGCATGAACGAAGATCCACAGCTTCTCATGGTCCGCACAAAAGACCACCTTGACAGGAGCAATGCAAGACAGCGGCACCTTCCCACAGTGATGAGCCTGAGATCAAAATAAAGAAAAAGAAAGGAAAACACCAACCATGAGAAGAACGAAGAACTCATTGGAAAAGTGAAAAACTGACCATAGCGATCACGTAGCATGGCACACCAGAGACATTTCCAGCCAGTGGCTCCAAAACCAGTCCCAAAACTCGTGACAACTCCTCCTGGTAGAGCCAAAGCGAGAGAGTTAGCAATGCTGGCAATACGCTGCGAGGCAACGAATCGAGTTACTTGAGGACCTTCGAGCTGGATAGCGCTGTAGTAGCTTGCGTCGTGCAGCACAGCTCCACGATCAGCCCATCTCAACACAGTCGCTGCGCATCGTCCCCTGGAACTTGGATGAGATCTAAACGACGAAAGAAAATCACCACAAGAGAGCAAACCTTCCAGGGATGCCACTGGAAAGCCAGTATCCCCAGCGCTTGGCCATGTAGAAGCGCTTGGCATGCCACACATGAGTAACAAGGCGTCGAGTTCCATCTTTGCAAGAGCCTCCCTTCCCTTTTACCACGTCTTGAAGCTCTACTCGTCTCCGGACACGCCTAGACAAGGAAGCCACCTTGAGCTCCCTCTTCCTCTTCTTATCCTCGCCTTCCACCACTCCATCTTCCTTGTCCCCGGCATTGGCATTGGCACTGGCATTGGCGCTACCATTCTCTTTGATCGCCTTCTTCTTGGATTTCTTCTCCTGGTGGTTCCAGAAGCGGTGCTTGCGGCGATTGTGGCTCTTGGTCCTGCGCTTGATGGACGCCAGCCCATCGCTGGACTTACCGGAACCTTGCAGCGCCGCGAAGAGCGATTCAAGCTCGGGAGCCCTCGCCTCAGCGAAGCGCTCCACCGCGAGAACACCATCACCCATTGGAACTTCTAGCCTAGGGCAGCGCAAAACCTTCTCTTTTCCTTGATTGCCTTTAGGATGTTACAAAACAAAACTAGGGATCGATCGCGTAGAATTTCACTTCTTGGCCGCTGTCACGTTGAACTTGAAGAAGATGATATCTCCGTCCTGCACGACGTAGTTTTTGCCTTCTTGCTTGTACTTGCCAGCAGCCTGGAAGACAAAACACACAAATACTTCCTTGCAAATCACCCAAAATCCATTTTTTACCTTGACAGCAGCCTCGGATCCAAGTTCTTTGAGGTCTTCAAACTTCATCACCTGAGAAAAGGTTTAATTTGCACCAATGAACGAATGACAGGCGATCGAAATTGGTTTTCTCTACCTCTGCACAGATGAATCCCCTCTCAAAGTCAGTGTGGATTGCGCCGGCGGCCTGAGGAGCCTTGGAGTGCTTCCTTATTTGCCAGCACTTCACCTTCAAGAGAAGCACGAGCTAAGAACGTCAAAAGATAAAGTGAATCACGAATACCTCGTCAGGACCAGCCGTGAAGAAGTATATCAAGTTGATGGCCGCGAACCCCGTCTTGATAATCTTTGGCAAAGCGCTGAAGAACACAAGACGATTCACATCAGAGCTGAAAACGGATTATGTACCTCTGAACCGCTGCTTCATCGCTAGGCGCGTCTGCTAGCCTTTGCTCCAGCACTCCGCTAAAGGGAATGAGGGGGTCCCCTCCATGCTCCTGAACCCTGTGAACACACAGTGCTAGGCTGAGAAGAGTCTGCGTTAAACAGCGAGTGGCCTACCAGGCGTGAATTTTCGGCAGCCACTTGTTCTTCTTACGCAGATAGTCTTTCTCCGTCATGTTCACCTGCGCCATAACTCTTCAAAAGCTCAGAAAGAAGGAAGCAATCGAGACAGTACCAGGTATACAACTGGCTTTGCCGAAAGCAGCTGGAATGTGTTAAGGAACTCTATCTCAGACTGCTTCCATTCCACGAGCCTGACGTCCTTGCCCTGCTTGAGACTCTCGTGCACCTAAAAGGCAGCGCAACCATATTCAAGTGTTACAACCTGTGCCGTGCCATTCAAGCTCAAACGTCAACCTTGTGGCAGCATTCCAGCTCCAGTTTGAGCTGCTTGTCATTGCTCCTCTTCAACGCCTTGTCGATGTCTTCGATTCGTCTCTCGATGAACTCTAGATCCTATAAGCAGTTGAAGCAAGCTCTCGCGCAACTAAACAGTACTACCTTGAGTCGCAACTCCAGCGTGATAATATCCAAATCCCGGATGGGATCGACGCTGTCTTCTACGTGAATCACATCCACGTCGTCAAAAGCTCCTGAAACACAAGGCATGATGAGATCAAATCAAAAGATATCAAGTGGCGAACTCACTAATGACATGGAAGATCCCGTCCACGGCCCGGATGTGTGACAAAAAATTGTTCCCGAGGCCCTGGCCTTCGTTGGCACCTCGGACGAGGCCAGCTATATCGTGCACTTCCAGAAAAGCCGACACCTATATCAATCGAAACGAGAGAAACTCTCGAGAAAATCACGATCGATACAAAAAATCGTAGCTTACCTCACTCTTGGGCTTGTGGTGCTGGACCAGCCAGTTGTAGCGCTCGTCGGGAACCGACACTCGAGCCTCGTTGGGCTCGATGGTGCAAAAGGGGAAATTTTCGGCAGGAATGGAGAGCTTGGTGAGCGTGTTGAAGAGAGTGGACTTGCCGACATTTGGAAGCCCCACCTGCGAACAATGCAAGCCAGAATCAATCGAGGCGAGAATTTCTTCTTCCCGGCCGAGAAATGGAGCACTCACAATGCCGATCTTGAGATGGGACGAGAATCTGCCGAGGATCTGGCGCTCCGCCGTCGCGTCCTTGCCCTTGGCGCCAGCCGCGGCCTTGGGCGCCATCGCCCTAAACGCGAAAGAAAGAAGACGAGCACTGTGATTTAGGGTTTATTGGGGACACGTCATCACTCCTCGCAATGACATGGTGGGGATGGATAAGGCGATGTGGCGCACAATCTCGCTCTCTCGCCGCTAGTCCCTAGCTATGGCAGCGCTATCGGCAGTGACCACATTCCATCACACGCGCAGCTGCGATCAAGCTCCCGCGATCAATCTGGGCGTCGTGAGGTGCGTAACACTGGCCAGGATTGTAAGGTGGAGATTTTTAGGGTGTGACGCTGCGAGCTCCTCGTCCCAGCGCTTCTTCCATCCTCCGCATTGCAGTATTGCGTGCGCAGCGGCGGTCGCTGCTGGTTGGTACTCACTTTCACGAGATTGCTATCATCTTTCCTAGGTAGCCATGGATTCTTGTTTGGGATTCGCTTCTTCTATTCTTTTCTTTGTGTTTGTGTGTGTGATATAGCTTTGGTTCTTCGCTGTCTGTGTGTCTGGCCTCTTTCTTTCTTTCTTCCTGAGAGTCTAGCTTTGTGATCTATCCATTCTAACAGCTTTTTCTTTCGATTTCTTTGCTCGATCCAACGCAGGAGATGTTCCAACTGTGGCCGATACCAAGTCGGCATTCCTCAAGGCTTTCCGGAAGCCGATACCCAGCATTTACAACAACGTCTTGCAGGAGCTCCTCGTCCAGCAGCACTTGATGCGATACAACGCCACTTACAAGTACGATGCGGTGTTTGCTCTCGGCTTTGTGACTGTCTACGACCAGCTCATGGACGGCTACCCGAACGCGCAAGACAGCGAAGCCATCTTCAAGGCCTACATCGAAGCTTTGGGAGAAGACCCCGATCAGTACAGGTCTTCTTTCTTTATGTTGTTTGATGCTCGCTTCCTCACTTTCTACTTTCGCTTCGGTATCGCAGGAAAGACGCTAAAAAGCTCGAGGAATGGGCATCCTCACAGACGGCTTCGTCCCTCGCGTCTTTTAACTCGGGCGACGGCGACGTTGAGGAGGTCCTCAAGGATATCGCACAGCGCGCCGCCGGGAAGACGAGCTTTCACTACAGCCGTTTCTTTGCGGTCGGTTTGTTCCGGCTGGTGGAACGGGCAAACGCTTCCGATCCGGCCGTCTTGGAGAAGGTGAGAGTTGTGCTCGCGGCCTGTTCGTCACTTTACTCGTCACTGCTGCGCAGCTCTGCAATGCGCTGAACGTGAGCAAGATGAGCGTGGATAGAGACCTGGACGTGTACCGAAATCTCTTGACCAAGCTCTCGCAGGCCAAGGACCTGCTCAAGGAGTACATTGACAGGTCTGTGTGTAGTGTCTAGATCTTTTCTTGCCAGTGGCTGACTTGGTAGCGCGCTTCTCGTGGCCGCAGAGAAAAGAAGAAGAGCGCGGAGAGGGAAGCATCCAAAACCAGTGAACCAGTAAACAAATGAACGCTACGGTTTTGTTAGAGCTCTCGAGCCCTATGTAGTTTGCACGATCACTCTTGTGTAATGGGTAAAGAGGTACGTATGCATTTGGTGTGTTATATTCATGACAATCGTCAAGCAGAGTTATAGCTTCGTACGTAGGAATACTGTCCAGGACCGTCTCTCGCGGTAAGCCTGTTAGAGAAGATCCTAGTGAAGGAAAAAAAAAAGGTGTTCTCTATCGAAAGGGCCACGCCAAAGTTCATGCAGCTCCTCCCCGTGCTTTGGGTTTGTAAAATCATGACGATGTATGTATTTTGTTCTTTCTTTTTTGGTTCTTTCTCTGGCAGGAGGAAGATCATATCATTAGTGGAGAACGAAGAAGGAGAAAAAAGAAATGGAGGTACGACACCTTTCTATGGATTTCTCGTGCAAAGCGTTTGTTCTTGACTCCTTTGTGAAGGACACGATGCAGCAGCAGTGACCCAGTTTGTCAACTTCTTATCGGCCACCCCGAACGTTATTCTGGAGCCAAAACACTCTTCCCTTCGTTAGAAACGCGATTCTCAGCGTCCTCAGAGCCATTTTTCACCTGTCGGAGCGCTCGAAGCTGGCGGAAGAAATCCCAGGATCATCCTGGGATTGGAAACGGCCAGCGTCGTGGAAGCTCAACACTGCGAGCGAGACAAATTCGATCAGCTTATCTCGAGCGGAATCCAACGCGATAAGATATATTACCGTGGCTGCTGTCCTTGCTCGCGAGATCCACGTACTTGGAAGAATCGGATTTGTCCAGATGTTTCCTGCGGTGGCAAAAAAAAAACGAAGGAATCTCTTAAGAACTTGTAAGAGCGGCAGTAGAGATCTAAGCACCAAACCTGTCTCCATGCTTTCCTCGCTCGCGATACGGCTTGACGAGCACTCGGGCGCCACAGATGTAGTGAGGATTCCCTTCGGAGAGAACGATCTTGACCGTCTCGGGGTAGACAAAGGTGACGAAGCCAAACATTCGCTTCTGCTGGAAGGGTATCCGGACGTCCTGGACTGGGCCGTAGGCTCTGTGCATGGAAGAAAGATGGAAACACCGTAACACCCAACATGGAATGGAATCAATACAAGGACGACTTACCTGAAGTGAATGCTGACATCATCCTCGCTGAAGGAGCTCTCGGCCGGAAATGTGAGGTAGATCTGTCTGGAGCTCGGATTCACGCCGCTCAGATCGTAATGCTCGCCTGCGAAGGTGGCGAACTTGTGCGCGTCTTCGGCCAGGACGACCGCGTGCTGGCCATGGGGCCTGGAAAGAAACATTCGAGAGGGAGAGAGTGAGAGAGGAGCTAGCTTTCCCCGAAACAAGGAGGGCGATGGTAGATAAGGAGCAAGAACAGGCAAGGAGAGATCGAGAAGAGGTCACTCACCGATCAATGACGGTGATGCTTCCTTTGAGCTTGGACAGGAGCCTGGTGAGATTGTAGCCCGACTTGCCGTGCCGCTGGCTCTCGGTCAGGTACCCCTCGGCTTGCAACGGCCTCCCGAATCTCTCGTAGTAGAGCTGCGGCAGCGCGGCGATGGAAACCGGCGAGGTGCGGCTGGAAAGAAGCTCCTGCAGCTCGCGGTCCAATCGCTCCAGCGACGATGGCGATGGTGATGATCCATCTCCCGTCTGCTGCTGCTGCTGCTGCTGCTGCTGCTCTGGAGGAGGATGATCGTGCTGGGGTCCCTGGCCATCGACAGGAGGGTCTGGCCCCCCCGGCGAGGAGGGATCGACGATGTGATCGTGCGAGAAGCGGCAGCTAGAGCCGTGCTTGCAGAATCCCCGCGAGTAGTAGACGCAAGGCTTGGGCCAGTTGCAACAACACGACCAGCGCAAATGGATGTGATCGTCCCCGGGATCGTCGAGCGGCCACCCCGCGCCCGACGTCTCGGCTTTGATCTTGCTGCTGTTGAGGAACGCGAACGTCTCCGGGTAGAAGTGGTCATTGGGAAACACACCGCCGGAGAAGCTAGCGGCGCCGCTGCTGTGCTGCCGCCGCTGGAATGATCCGGAGCCCAGAGGAGGAGGAGGAGAATGGATGTGATCAACTCCTCGAGGCGGCGGCGGCGGCGGCGATGGCGATGGCGGCTGGAGCATGACTTGGGTCGCCGCCGCAGCGCTGGCGCTGGCGCTGGCGGAGTCGAGCAAGCCCAGCTGCATTCTCGCCCTGGCCACCGCGGATTGGAGCAGCGCGTCGGGACCCATGGCCAAGCCGAAGATCTGGCGCTCGCCTTGATCCTCAAGGAGGAGATATCCCATGATCTTGGACACGTTATCCGGATCCACGGCCTGGACACGTGAGTAGACAATCCTGGTCGCCTCATACGCCTCCATTCCCGCCGCTCAAGCGCTGCGCGATGGCGATCGATCCATCCCAGGAGAGAAGAAGAAGTAGAACAAGCAAGCGAACATCACCCAAAATGCATACCGCGAATCTCATGGATGGATCAAAAGCTTTGCCCGTGGCGGCGGTGGTGGTGGCGGCGGCGCAAAGCAGCAGCATGGATCAAGCGGAGGAGCTCGCAAGTTCCATTCTTGGCCTGGTTTGTACAAGCAAACAAAACGAGCCTCTCTCTCTTGTATTCTACCACCCATGCATCATAGCTCCGGTACCCACCTGGCAAATTGCCACCACCTTCATTAAACACCCCCTCTCTTACATATAATGCGAGCGTATATCAAACCCATTGCTACGATCCATTTGATTTGATTACCAGCGCGTAGCTCTACCTAGAAATCCAAAACCCAAACCAAACAAACCCATGGCAGCAGCGCAGCTATTTTAGGAATCCGAGGAGGAAATTGTGCTTCACAATTTCAGCTGACACCAACTGCCGTTTGGGTGGTCTTGTAAGTTTCTTCTTCTTCTTCTTCTTCTTCTTCTTGTTGCGAGAAATCGGGCCTGTTTCAACCAAACGCCGCCAACCCAGGGACTGAAAAGATTGATCTTGAGTTCTCAACTTGTTGGCAAGAAATATATGTATGTTTGTGTATGTAGTAGTATCATCGGTTCCCGGGTGGTGTGCTATCTCCGTTGGGCCGAGCACCACCACCACCTTCGCTTGCAATGCCGGAGGACAATCCCAGGATGTCGGGAGTGATCTCCCAGCTGCCACTCTTGCGTCCCCAGCTGGAGCGGCGGGGATGGATGATCCCCCCCTTTGCATCGCCACCGCCACCGCCGCCGCCACCACCGCCGCCACTCTCCATCACCGGGAGCCTCCCAAACGCGTGAGCGAATGTGTCCTCCATGCCCAAGTTGTCCTTGGCTTCTGCCGCGGCCGTGTCGACGTTGCTCACTCGGCAGTGGAGGTCTGCAAAGGCGGCCTCGTCGATCAAGTGCTCCCCTCCCAGCGCCCACGAAGGCTTGGAACCGGCCTCGATGTCCTTGACGGGCTCCGAGCTGACGGCGTTGCGAGGCTTGCTGGACGCTACTGGCTGCAAGTTTGTCGAGGATGGGAGCGAGCCGTCGGCCTGGACTCTGGCACGGAAAACGTTGAACGACTTGGGAACTGGACTGCACAGGATCTCGTACAGGTTGTGAAACACACCACGGTTATACGGGTTCACTTTGTTGTCATAACGGTACCGGAAATTCTCGTACGTAGTCTGCACCAACATATCACACACGACGATCGCTAAACCAAGCTGTAATAGTACGTCCAAGAAAGAGGTACCTGATTAGTGCTCATGAGATACAGGTGGAAGAACGTAAGGCCGCCGACGAACCACACCGCAATGAAGGTGTAGGCCATGAGAAGTACAGATGGTGGCGACTTCCCCATCGCCCGCCATACAGTGTAGCTGTGGTCGTGCATGAGGAGCTTGATATACAGCGCACAGATTCCAAACACGTAGATACAGAGGAGCGTTGTCGAGGAGACAAACATGAAAAAGTACCGATAATTCCTCTGCAAGAAACACAAGACGAGACGAAGATGAGAAACGAAGAAGCGAAGAGACCAAGCAAGCGTACCAGGCCAATGCACTGCCCAACCCAAGGACAGTGATGATCGAAGCGCTGGACGCAATTGTTGCAAATAGAGCAGTGCGAGCAGCGAGGCGGCCTGTAGAGCATGCAAGTGTCGCAGTATTTGATCTTCACCGAGACGCCATTCACGATCACGTCCTTGGTTCGTGGCAATCTGAAGCGAGGCGTGAGACCACCGGCAGACCAGTCAGTCGGAGAAGTCGGAACCAGCTCTTCCTCGGCCTCGGGTTCCGGTGGATGCGGGTTCCGGGGGATGATCCCCGGATCCCTTCCTGAGGTGAGCATTAACAAGACGAGTACCTGGACGAGAAGAAAGAAAACGACACGAAGAAGTGAGCAAAGACGAGAGAGCAAAAGCATGGATGACTTACAAATGCGGTGTATACAACAGTGACAACGAGTATCGCAATCCCACTCCTGTCATTGGAGAACTTGTCGCGTAACCGGCTCGCGACGAACACGCAGAAGATCACAACCGGGACGATGATGAGGAAGAGAGTTACCAGCAGAGATCTCACGTCGGGTCCAAAGATGAGCCTTCCACCCAAGAAGAACTTCTGCAAGAACACACACAAAAAACGTTCCTTTAGCTTCCCAAAGCCTTGGGAACTTCCAAAGGAAGTCTCGCGAAACTTACATTGCTTCCTTTCCACACCTGGTAGACGCGCGTCTTGTCCGTGACTTTCTTGGGCGCATTCGCGGCCCGGGGAGGGGATGGAACCATAAACATCGCTGCGACCTAGACGAGCTCCTCTCCCCCGGCGCGTGCTAGATCATGCCCCCGCGACCACGAATCCAAAATCCTAGTGTAGAAATTCCCCCAGCTGCTGGCTACACCGCTATCGCTACAAAGGGCGCGGGCGCCACGCTTACCAGTCCCGGGAGCTCCATCATCCCACTCCAACGAGCGCGTAGGCGAGCATCGGACATGGCACGAATTGGCGAGCGGCAGATCTGATCGCCTTCTCGCCGCGCTCCTCTCCAAAAACCCTCGAGAGCGCCACAATGGGTATGGGATGCCCAATGCGCAAGCACAGTGCCACTATTTGGGCCACATGGCCACTCGTCCGTACAAGAGAATATTTGTATTCCCCCATTTCTAAACCTTTGTTTGTTTGGATATCTGCGATGATCAATACGTACAAACACCATATCTTGCCACCACATGAAACAAATATTCACGTGTCCAGTAACGTTTGGAGATCAAATCAGATGCTTTTATTCAACCCAAAAAAAATTTAATGGAACGGGATCTTCTTTTTTCATCATCTCATGAATGGAATGAGGAAGTACTCGGCATAGAAGAGCTACGAAGATCAAACCAAGATCAAAGATCACGAGATGAAAAGATCAAAGACAATCCACACACCTTCCAGACGAACATGTAGAAAGACGAGATCGCTGCTTTGCTAGACAAGTCGACGCTCTGGGATCGCATCCATAGAATCGCCGCGATCACGGAATGACCCACCGTCTAGACGAATCCAACGCAAACTTGTAAGAACTAAAGCGATGATCACGAAACTCTCACCATGGCGATTTTGCTCCAGAGACACGAAGACATAGCCCCAAAGATCACCGCTGAAGCGTAAGCAGCTTCCAAGAGCCCAATGCACAACCAAAACACCTGAAAGAGAGGTGAGAAAACTTGAGAATCCAAACGAGCAACTGACCTTTTCCTGGCCCAGCCGGACACTAAACGACTGGATTCCAAATGTCTGATCGCCCTCTACGTCAGGGATGTCCTACAAAGACGCATGACATACGTACTTTTCCAGATTAGCTTACCTTGAACAAGGCTATGACGACCGAGAAGAAACACATGAATGCGGTGGCGAAGAGCAACGATCTGGGATAGAAGGCCGGTCTCTTGAGAACAAAGGCCTGCGAATTTGCAAAGTTTACGAGCAGGCAAAACGGAAAAACACGGCACACCTGCATGTGAAGAAAGAATGCGAGCTGAACGACAATGGCTCGCACCGAGAGAATGCAGCTGGCTGCAGCAACCGCGGACCGCTTCCATCGCAAAAAAGGAAGCTGCAAAAAACTCGAAAAATCGGATTTTTCGGGCTGAAAGACCAATCTTTTTCATACCTGGATCGAATACGCTGTCCCTAGAACAAAGCTGACGCTCAAGGCCCACAAAAGTGGCCTAGACTTGACCAGGAATCCCACTCCCAGACTCTGGAGCGTCCATGTAAGTTTCGTGAGGAAGTAAGAAAGAAAAGGTGGCTCACCGAAAGCGCGGACGCAATCACGAGAGCGACCCCGGTCGCGAGCGAGTAGTCTCCAGACGCAAGAGGAAGATATGGCTTATTAACCTGAACTGCAAGCAAACACCCACGGAGAAACTCTTGTAACCATCGCGACGAGCGATGAGAGAAAGAGAGAAAAGTTTCGGCTGCTTCACCCTGTCGATCTCGATGTCCGATATCTGGTTCAGTCCCACGATGTAGATGTTCATGAGTAGCGCCGGGATCAAAGCCTGGGAGAAGTGTCCTGAGCGCTAGCAAAGAAATCGAGATGAAAGAACTCACCTGGAGAAGACCCACCGCGAAACGCGAAGAGAGAAAGTCCGCCACGCTCTCGGCCGCGAGGAGGGAGATGGAGACGATGCCAATTGCCTGGAGCAAGAGATCCAAGGAGATGGTCGCGAAGAAAGCGATCAAAAGGGAAGAACTTACGGTGCCTATGACAGTGTGAGGCCGAGTGAAGCGGTAGAATGCGCTGAGCCAAGCAGCTATGTCGGGCTGTGCATGGAGAGACGATGACAATCCCGCGGCTGCATGCTCCGCGGCGCAAGAGATCCTGCGCTTCTTCTTCCTGCTCTTGCAATCCCGGAGCAAGACGATGGCAGTGGAGCTTCCAAGCGCCGGGAGCCCAGCGCCGCATGGATTGCGAGGGCGAAGAATGCAGGGGGAAGAACAGGACGTTCTCGCCAGCGGCGGAGGATGGCGGAGGCTGGCACTGGATCGCAGCGGCATGAGGATGATCGCGTCCATGGAGCTGCGGGATCCAGAGCGCCAAGGCTGGAGATGGAAGAAGAGAAACCCCTAAAAGAGTTTGTCCATGCCGTCGTTGGCTCTCTTTCTACCTGGATCGACCGTATAAAATCGGGCCCTTCTTTCTCACACTCGTGTCCCGTGGGTGGCCCGTCTAGATCACGAGACCACCAGCGCGATCGTCATGGTGACGCGTGTTAGCTAGGGTTTTAGAGACATGGCGCTCAATCTCACAATGAGCGCGTTCGTGGGTGTGGAGCACGCAATGGCCGCCGCCATGGGCAGCCGCCGCTTGGTTCTGCGTGCCAGCCGCATTGCTTCCTCGCGCAGCGCTCGAGATTGGTCATCGCCATCTCCTCTTCTGCTCAAACAGGTAAGAAAATCTTGGTTCTTTAGTTCTTCTCATTGATTCATCGCAGAAAGAGGAAGCGGAGGAAACCTTCCAGGGAAGAACATCACAGCCTCAAGGCTCTCGTTTTCTCCCGCCAGACAAGGAAGGAGGTGGAGGAACCGCGAAGCCGGAGAAGATGAAGAAGCCATCGATCAAGGTGACGAGACCATCTCCCGGATTCAGTCCTTTCAGCGCACAGGGATTCGCGTCGCTCAAGCTGTCACCCAAGCTCGTCCAGAAGCTGGACGAGATGAATCTCACTTCGCCCACGCAAGTCCAAGCGTCCGCCATCCCAGTGCTCCTCGATGGCCACGACGCTGCCATGCAATCCTACACTGGCTCCGGGAAGACGCTCGCCTACTTGCTGCCAATTCTCTCCACGATCGGGCCCTTCGCGGACGCTGGAGGAGACGAGTCCGCGAGGAAGACTGGCGCGATCGACGCGGTGATCGTCGCACCGTCCCGGGAGCTGGCAATGCAGATCGTCCGCGAGGCCGAGAAGCTCCTGGGTGACGAGCACCGGAGGCTTGTCCAGCAGCTCATAGGTGGCGCCAACTTGAAGCGCCAGGCCGAGGCTCTCAAGAAGAACAAGCCCATGATCATCGTTGGAACTCCTGGGAGGATCTCCGAGTTTAGCCGCGCAGGGAAGCTCCACACGCACGGATGCCGGTTTCTCGTGTTCGACGAGGCGGACCAGGTGCTCTCCATGAAGTACCGCGACGACATGAAGCGAATCCTCGAGCATGTTGGAACCCGGAGAGCCTCTTCCTCGTCCTCGTCCTCCTCAAACTCGCAGCCGCAAAGATTAGAGAGGCAGACGATCCTCGTCTCGGCGACCATGCCGCCGGCTCTTCTGAAAGCTGCGGAGGACTGGGGGCACAAGCCACTGCTCGTCAAGGCCGCAGCAGCGACGTCAACCAGCCAGAGCTCGTCGGAGGTGGATTCGCAACAGCAGAAAAGGTGGTCGAGTGATCCAGACGTGAGAGGAGCCCGGGAGAGCTTACCACCCAACCTCCGGCATTGCTACGTGATCAGCCCCGCCAGGCACCGCGTCTCCACGCTCCGGAGGTGCATCAACGCGCTGGATCCTCAGTCCGTGCTCGTGTTCATGAACTTCTCGCGGCGTCTCAAGGACACCATGTTCAAGCTCCAGGCCGGAGGGATCGACGTGAGCTGCCTCCACGGCGACAAAGGAAAGCTTGGCCGGAGCAACACACTCACTGCTTTCAAGGCCGGGAAGATCCGTGTGCTGGTGGTGAGTGAAGTTGGAGCTCGCGGTATCGACGTTCCCGAGTGTGATCTCGTCGTCAACTTGGAGCTCCCGACGGATGCTACGCACTACGCGCACCGGGCTGGGCGGACGGGGAGGCTGGGCCGCGGTGGAACCGTGCTCACCATCTGCGAGGAGCGGGAGAAGTTCGTGGTGGACAAGTTTGAGAAGCAGCTCGGGCTCCAGATCGACAAATGCGAGGTCGCGTGTGGGGACGTGAGCCTGGAAGAAGAGGACCAACTTGACGAAGAAGACGAAGATGAAAGAAAGAGTTTTCAAAGCCGCCATAGCCAAAGAACCGAAGGTTACAAGAGGAGGACGACGATGCGTCCTTCTTTCGGTATGGAAGCTTGAAAGTTCTTAGTACAAAGCCACCAAAAGGAGAAGAAAAGAAGCTTTTTTTTCAAACGGGAGCGCCTTTGTTTTTTTGCAAAGGAGAGATCCCCGCCAGAGCTAGAGATCGTTTGTGAATCGTGTCGAATCGACGGTCCCGGCTCGGCCACGTCACGCTGGAAGCAATCTGCTGCTACTGATGGCGATGGCCGCCGCGGTTCTCTCTCCAGCGAAGAAAGGATGCGTCTTAGTGGCGCTTGGGTCGTCTCGTCCACCTAGCAGCTAAGCTGCATTGCTCCATCTCGATCGGAGGAGGAGGAGAAGCTCGCAATGGGCTCGAGGCCTCATCTTCTCGCATTGCTCTCGGCACTAGCAGCATTAGCAGCGCTGGGGGGAGCTTGGGCAGCTCGCAGCGATGCCGCGATTCTACTCGACGTGAAGCGCGGCTTGGATCCCAGAGGTGAGGTTTTGGCGTCGTGGGTCGCGGGCAAAGATCCGTGTGGGGCGGAGGATGGATTCGTGGGCGTGGCCTGTGACTCGCGAGGAAGGGTCACCAACGTTTCTTTGCAAGGCAGAGGTCTCGAGGGAAGCATTCCAGGGGCCATTGGCGAGCTCTCCTCGCTCACAGCTTTGTATCTTCACTACAACAGCCTCTCCGGGAGCATTCCATCGTCACTGGCATCGCTCACTGGTCTCACCGACGTCTATCTCAACGTCAACAAGCTCTCGGGTGCCATTCCTTCGCAGCTCACCTCTCTTCGCAACCTCCAAGGTTCTTCCCATGATCATCAGCATCTTTCTTTTGCTAGAACTTTCTTTGTTTCAACTTTGGCAGCTCTCCAGCTCTGCTGCAATGATCTGAGTGGTCCCATCCCTGACGCGCTGGGTCATCTCGGCTTGCTCAATCTCCTGGCACTGCAGCACAACCATCTCGACGGACGGATCCCCGCCTCGCTGGGCCAGCTCTCGTCGCTCAAGCACTTGGACCTCAGCTTCAACAGTCTCTCGGGTCCCATTCCCGCGGCACTAAACAACTTGGCCCAGATCACTGTTCTGGATGTTCGCAGCAACAAACTCTCGGGCTATGTCCCAGCAGGCAAGCGAAAACTTCTCATCGCTTCAAACTCTAAGTTGGTGGTGATCTTCGCGAGAACTTATACGATCGATCGTTTTGCGCAGGACTGCGAAGCTTGGAAACTGGATTTGCCTACAGCAACAACACTGGCTTGTGCGGTGTGGGCTTTCCAAGTCTTCCTTACTGCAGCGGCTCCGGAGCATCATCCTTGCAGCGTCCACAGCCTTTTGGAGCGGTCGCTCCGGAGCATGCTGCTACGGGCCCTTCGACAGCCACGAATCCTCGAGCTCGCGGCCGCATTCCAAATCTCGTGGAGCCGCAAGCCAAGCCAGGGAACGCTGCCACCGTTGCTCAAACCGTAGCCAAGCGTGCTCCTCTCTCCACAAACTCCTCGTCCAGGATCCCGCAGATGGCTGTCATCGGCGGCGTCGTGGCCGTCACCGGCGGAGTGCTGCTTGCGATGCTCATGTCGTTCGTGTGGTTTCGGAGGCACAAGCAGAGAATCAGCAGCACTCATGACAGCAGCGGCGGGATCAAGGTGGCGACCATGGACATTCTCTCTCCGGAGCAGACCAAGAGCAAGAGCGGCGGCGATGGCGGCGGCAAAGGCAGCAGTCTCCACCTGGTGGCGCCGCTGGCCATGCAAAGCATCAACGCACCGAAGAGCCTGGTTGGATCCTCGATGAGGAGCTTCCAGTATCGGCTGGAGGAACTGGAGGTGGCGACGAACTATTTCTCGGATAAGTACCTCCTGGCCAGGAAGAGCAGCCTGTCGATCTACAGGGCGGTGGTGAGGGACGGATCCACCGCCGTGATCAAGTACTTCACCAAGACGAGATTCGTGGGTGGCGAGGAGGAGTTTGAGGCCGCGCTGAGCTCCTTCGTGCAGCTCAAGCATGACAATCTCGTCAAGCTCAAGGGCTTTTGCTGCGTCCAAGGAGGACTCCAGTGCTACCTCGTCTATGACTTCGTGCCGAATGGATCGCTCTTCGAGCACTTGCACGGCCCAAGCGTGTCACCTTTGGACTGGGGAACCAGAGTCCAGATCGCCCATGGAGTTGCCAAAGGTACGTAAGCTTGCATGGCTATGGACTTCTAATCTAATACTCGAGATACTGCTACTACGCAGGATTGGATTACCTCCACCGCAATGGCGAGCAAGTCATTGTGTGGGCTTCCAACGTGCTCTTGGACGAGAGCTACAATGCTCTTGTGTCGAGCTGGGGTCACAACAAGGTGCTCGCGGACGAGCTCGTCTATGCCAACATCAAGACATCGGCAATGCTGGGCTACTTGGCACCCGAGTATGGAGTGATCGGCCACCTCCACGAGAAGAGCGACGTGTACGCGTTTGGGATCTTGCTGCTGGAGCTCCTCACGGGACGCAAGCCCATGTACGCGGACGGCAGCAGCTTGTCGGTCACCAATCTCGCCAACTTTGTGAGGCCGCTCTTCGACTCCGGCCATCTCGACACCGCCATCGATCCGTCGTTGGGGACCAAGTTTTCGGCGACTGGTGCGATTGGTATGGCCAGCATCGCCTTCTCGTGCGTGGCGCCAGTGCCGCAGCTGCGGCCAAGCATGGGACAGGTCGTGCAGAGGTTGTATGAGATCGAGACTCTGGCCGATGGTGGAGGAGGAGCTTCCGCCACTGCCGACGCAGGATTCTCGTCTTCCGGAGAGGAGTGTCCCTCGTACCCGACCCGGCAGCAGGCTGCGTACGCGGAGATGCTGGACTATGGACGCTAGCAAGCTTCTCTAACGTCAAGCTAGCTCTAGGAGATCATCGAACGAAAGAACACGCACTCACTCACACAACTTTGTGTTGTCTGTAACTTGTACCATGAATCCTTGCTCTAACAGTTTGCATTGATCGATCTATTCTTGAGTTACACAAGTTCTTAGCTCATGTTCCTTCCGACTGAGAGACGAGGATTATATCGAACGGAAGAACATGCCAGCTTTGTGTTTTATCCGTAACTTGTACCATGAATCTTTGCTCTACACTTTGCATAGATAGAGTTACACAAGTTCGTGCTCGTCGATGAGATCATGCTCCTTCCGATTGAGACGAGGAGAGCTGCGACTGAGAATCAAACGACTCCGGGGATGCGTCGCCGCGTATCTCCTCGATCATCCGGACAACTTGGCTCATCTTGGGCCGCGCATCCGGCGAGTGAGCGACGCAGGCCATGGCAGTCTGCAGCAGCGCCACCATCTCCTCCTCGATGTCTCTATACCTCATGAGCTCCAGATCGAACACCTCGGCTGTCCATTCCTCCCGCACCACCGACTGCACCCAGCGCGGGAGATCATGCACGCCGTCGCGCTGCACCGGAGCTTTCCCCGTCAGGATCTCCAGCAGCAGCACGCCGAAGCTGTAGACGTCGCCCTTCTGCGAGATCCTCCTCGTCTCGCAGTGCTCCGGAGCCCGGTATCCCACCAGCCTGGAGCAAGCCGCCGAGTTCATGAGCAGCGCCAGGCCGAAGTCCCCGATGCGCGCCACCCCGTTTCTATCCAAGAACACGTTGCTCGACTTGATGTTCCCGTGCGGTATCTTGTGAGAGCCGCTCTCTTGGTGGATGTACGCCAGACCTCTCGCAGCTCCAAGCGCGATGTTGATCCGGGTGGTCCAATCCACCGGTACACGTCCTGGTCCTCGGTTGCCTACAGAAAGAGACATCACACGAGCTTAGACGTCGATCGAAGAGATGGAATGGAAAACCAACCATGGAGCAAGCTATGGAGGCTGCCATTGGGCATGTAGTCGTAGACGAGGAGCTTCTCATCCTTGGCGTAGTAGTACGCCTGGAGCTGGACCAGATGCGGGCTTCGCATCCTCCCAATCAACTCGATGTGCTGCTCGAAATCCTTCCGGCTGGTGGAAGTCACGTCCTTGAGCCGCTTCACCGCCACGACGTAGCCATCGACGAGCATGGCCTTGTACGCCGAGCCCAGGCTCCCCTTGCCGAGCATCTCCGCCGAGGCTCGCAAGAGATGCTCCAGATCGAAGCTGGGAGCTTGTCCGCTACCACCGCCACCCACGAAGACGAGCTTGTTGTTGGTGTTGTTGCTGATCATGGAGGACACGGACACGGGGTGATCCGTGTCGAATTCCACGGCACTGGCGGCCGCGGGGACTGTTCTTGGCTTGGACGCGTACGTGCTGTTCTTGCTCTGCTGATCCAGCTGCGATCCAAATCCGGACGCGCTGCTGCTGCTCCTGTCCTCGAACTTACGACCACGTCGCCCACTCCTTCGCCAGTAGTAGACGAGGAACATCGAAGTCATGAGCACCAGCACGACGGCATCGCCCACTACGATGGCGATGATGGCTCCGGTGCTTAGCTGCTGCTGCTTCTTGCGTGAATGCGTCGTGGTGGACGCTGGAGTACTGCTCGTGTCATTGGAATGCGAAGGCATGGCCAGAGAGGATGGAACGTAGGCGCGAAATGGTGGTGGTGGACCGATGGTATGGTCCGGAGAGGGTGCTGGCGATGGTGGCTCTAGAATGCTAGCACAGCGCGGGAGAGGCGAGCCACACAGCCCCGCATTGCCAGCGAAGGTGGAAGCATTGAAACGCTCGAGAGTTTTGGGGATGGTACCTCGCAGCTGGTTGGCCGAGACGTTGAAATCGTTGAGCATGGTGAGATGGGCGAGCGGCGGGAGCGCGGACGAGAGCTCGTTCCCCTCGAGACGCAGCGTGAGGAGATTCGTGAGCGCGTCCATGGAGCTGGGGATTGGACCCGAGAGCCTGTTGTTGGAGAGATCGAGCCGCCAGAGGTGAGGGAGCTGGGAGATGGATCTTGGGATGGATCCGGAGAGATGGTTGCCGCCCAAGAAGACGAACTTGACATTCCTCCAGTTGGTCAGGTCGGGAGGAATGCTCCCATTGAGCGCGTTGTTCTTGAGGCTGAGCAGCCGGAGGGAGCGCAAGCGCAGCAGCGAGTCGATGCCCCCCACCAGATCGTAATCCTCCAGGACGAGCTTGGAAACGCGGCCCTTGACGCACGACACGCCCACCCATTGCGTGCACAGGTTGCTTCCTCTCCCCCAGCTCCTTAGCCTTCCACCATTCCAATCCGCGGATTGCTTGAATGCCAGTAGCGCTTCCACCTCCTGCTGAGCGCCCAGATCACCTCCTACCTCTAGCGCCACCGCCACCGCCGCCGCTAGCGCCACCACCACCACCACCAGCAGCGGCTTCATCTCTCGCTCTCTTTTCTTTCAAGAGAGCTCTACGCTCATCATGGCACCTAGCCTATGCTATATCGCGCTCTGGCGCTCCAATGCTTGCTTGTTTTGCGTGTTTTAGCTTTGGTTGTGAGATTTTCCATAAGGCTTGGATGATCATCCAGCCCCCAAATCACGGGATCAAGCAGGGAATCACCCAACTCTCTGCCCGCAAGCCTGCCAAACATGTCACTAGCACTTAATCTCAACTGACCGTTGCAACCTGGCTCTCGTGAGTGGGGGACTGTCACCCAGGCCCCTACACAAAGAAACAAAAGCCCGCTACACAAACAGTGTGGATCTAGCAACTTCCTCTTGATTATAATATGGAGTCAAAGACGCAATCATCTTTGCAATGAGAAAAACATGGCCCAGAGATTCTTAGATCGAGGAAGAATATACAAATAGAAAAAGGTTTGCCCCACTGAGTGGAAATACGCGTGAAAGAGGACTCTTATAGTTGGCTCAAGCGATGGATGTCATCTTTTTCGAGTCTGGGCACGGCAGCCACAGCTGGTGGATTGCCGGCCGCCGCGGTTTATAATCGCCCAAGAAGCGCGAGCGACAGAAGAGACAATGGAAGAGACCATGGAAGAGACAGGATCTTCTACTCCAGGTAAGTCGAAGAAGAGGGTTGTGATCAAGATCAAGGCCAAGAGAGTCGCGAGCAACTCTGCTCGTCTGGTTGGATGCGCGGGCGTGGCAGTCGTGGGGCTAGTCGTGGATGTTCCAGCGGTTTGCAGCATAGCCGTGGCCAAGGCTCCAGTTTTCCTGTGGAAGGGATGGAAGCAACAGGTGATCAACATGGAAGAGTGCGTGGAAGACGGCGTTTGCTCGAGGCCGATTTGCTTGCCAGTCACGGGCGCCATGCTCGCGCTCTGGCCCGCGAGAGTGGCCGCGTCTCTAGGATCCGCGCTGCTCTACAGCCTCGCAAAGGGCTTCAACGGCGCGGTGGTGGCTTACCGGGAGAAATCCATCCGCTGTGGCCTCAAGCACGTCATCGCCGCCATCGCCGAGTATGACGAGCTCAGCAACGACATGATCCATCTCAGGCAAGGGACTTGCCTCCCAAAGCCGGCGTATAGGAAGAATCACGGCCATCGTCACCGCCGCGATCAAGAACCAGCTGATGATCTAGTACACGAGCGCGAGCAGCAAAAGCGAGGCCTGGGCGTTTCATTCCACGTGATTCGCGAGATGGATCTCGGCGAGCTCTTCGAGTTCATGAGCTCCGGGTATGGCCCGCGCCTGATCGAGCAGGGACTGCTGGCCTCCACCGACAAGTTGACCGTGGAGTCGGCAGCGTTGACTATTCTTTCGTACTTGTTGACGTCAACGAAACAGGAGGAACACGGAGATGACCATTACTACGATTCGCTGGAGACCCTGCAACGTCAGATCTTAGAGGCTGAGCTGGATCCCACGGAGGAGCAGTACCTCTATGACATGGTGCTGCGTCGGCAGGCCGATTTTCGCGAGCTAGATCCAATCCGTGGCGCGATGCTGCAGGCCTTTGGACGTAGGATCCGAGGAATCTCCGCGTTCGTGTCCAGGAACCCAGAGTTTCGGAAGCAGTATGAGGCAGCCATGGATTCTACTGCTGCTAGCACTGCATTGGATCATCCAGATCGATCAGTGGTAATGGAGGACATGATAAGTTTCGATTGACACTCGAGACAAAACTTTTGAAAACTGGAATGAATTCTGTACACAAGAAAACTCTTGAGCTTATGCATGGTTTTAGTCTCCACTTTGTAACGAGGGGGAAGAAGATGATGTGGTTGCATTCTCAGGGAGTGGGGGCATGGGTCTGAAAGACTGCCTCCTTCTGAAGTATGATGGCCTCAATGGCCTCCTCACATACTTTCCTGAAGGTGGAGACCAAGGTATGGAGTGTTCTCTGCAGCAACCGTCCAATGCGTCGGTGCTAGGACTGCTTGAATCTCCTGGATCATTCTTGGAAATCAGCTGCTCCAAAGAGTTGATCTTGACGTTGTTCTCCAAGTTCTCTTTGTTATGCACTCGATGCTCTTTGATCTCTCCTGAATCCTTTGGAAGCACAACAGATTTCTTCCCTGGATCAGCCTGTGCTTGCAAACCTTCCTTTCTTAACAGGCTCGCCACCGTGTGGAAAGTGAGGAGATAGAACTTGTGGCCCGGCATGAGAATCACATCCGGTGTGAGAAGCGCTGCGCTCACAGGTGAAACACGAAACACATCGGGTCGTGTTACATAGTGCTGTGTGCTTTGCATCACATCTCCTGCCCTCACGGGGCCACGGACTTGCACCACTTTACCTCCTGGCTTGACGAGCTTGACATAGCCTCCTCCACCATCTCTAGCGCTCGCACCTTTGCCGCTGCTGCCAATGGCCTGTGAGGACGAATTCATGAGAATTAGTTCCCGCATTCTGTGGATCAGGCCTCCTGCTGGTTTCTTGCTATGCATGCCAGATCGCAACTTCGGTCCAGCATGAAGGCAAGAGAGGCGCTTTGCTTTGAGCTCTGGACGAAACACCCAACATCACAAGGTGACAAAGGGACTTTGGATAAGAACGCAGGCAACCAAGTGAGGTTAAGCATGGGCATCCGGCTTGCGGACATCGCGTCTTGGAATACGAGGATCAGAGCGCTGGCCTGCTGCGGCTTAGCTCCCGATGCCGAGGCGCTCTTTGAGATCATGCCCATGAGGAGCACCTCAACGTGGAATATCATGATTACGACATATGCCCAAGCTGGGGAACTGTCGAAGGCGAGCATGGTTTTTGACGCTACGCCTGCACCCGATGTTGTATCTTGCAATGCGATGCTTCAGGCGTTTATCCGCTGTGGGGATTTGCATCGTGCATGGGCTTTCTTCTCTATGACGCTTTTGAAAAATATCATCACCTGGAACATAGCAGTGCAGGCGTTTGGATATCGCACTGTGTTTGCGTTGATGCCGTACAGGAATGTAACAACATGCAATATCGTCGTAACTGCATATGCCAAGGAAGGGCAAATGCTGCATGCATGGAGAACGTTTGTGGATATGCCTCACAGAGACGAAACCGCATGGAACTGCATCATTCAAGCCTTTGTCACAAACGGAGAGCTGAGGAAAGCTGAGAAGCTCTTTTCCATGATGCCAGAGCACACGATACTTTGCTGGAATGCAATGATTGTCACAAACATGCAGAGTGGAAACTTGGAGAAATCTGCTGCTTTGTTTAAAAGAATGCCCCACAGAGACATTATTTCTTGGAATGCATTTCTTACAGGTGACACAAGAGACTCTGGTTTCATTTCAGCGAGAAAACTGTTTGATAGAATGCCAATGTGGACCATTGCATCGTGGAATGCGTTGATCACAGCATATGCCAAGTGTGGGCAAGACAGGATTGCTCTTGGAGCCTTTTACTCGATGCAGCTTCAGGGTATCCGTGAGGAGATGGAAACACTTGCAATTCTTCTGGGATCCTGTGCAAGCCTCACGGATCTTTCCCAAGGAAAGCTCATTCACTCCTGCTTCCATGACAGACACTTGAATCTTCGACTCCAAACAAAGGAGCATTCAAGAACAATGGTGTCAAGCGCGTTGATCAACATGTACGGAAGATGTGGCACCATCCGTGAAGCCCAAAACGTGTTTGAGAACACCCAAGATGCAAACGCAGTGTTGTGGAATGCTATGTTAGCAGCATTTGCCGCAAATGGGCACTTTGCGAAAGCCACCTCTGTGTTCTGGGACATGGTTTTTCAAGGTCTACATCCCACAACCTCAACTTTCTCCATTCTCCTGTCAATGTGCAGTCACGTAGGGCTGTGGAGCGAGGGCTACACATACTTCCTCTCCATGAAATCGGATTTCCATCTCCAGCCAAGCGAAGATCACTTTGTCTGCGTCGTGGATTTGATCGGTCGCTCTGGATGGCTTGGAGCTGCCGAGGAGCTCTTGCAATCCATGCCATTCGAGCCCGGCGAAGTTGCGAGGCTGGCTTTGCTAGGGGCTTGTAGCAGCCACACCGAAGATCACATCCTCCCGGAAGCCAAGCTATGGACGTCCGAGTCCTATGATTCTAATTAGTTCGTGATCCATTGTCAGTCGATCGAATACATTGTAAAAATCCTTTCCCAGATGCCCAGTGGAAGAAGGAATTGGAGAGGTGTAAGTAAAGAGTGCCTATACACGTCCTTGGCATGGCGATGGAGTGATGGAAGGAGATGGAAGGAGATGGAAGAAGAAGGAAGAATTGCCTAGCTAGCAGTGCCATGCCGAGACGGTGACGATGGAGGTGCCAAGCCAGCCGAGAGACAAGCTCCCAGGCCCTTGGAGCAGCGTGAAATTCTCACTCTTGTTGTAGAGCCAGAGGAGCAATCGCGCCTGGCTCACCGTGTAGTGGCTCAGCGCCGCGCTCCACAGCCCCGCGCCATCGATGCATCGCTGCCACTCGCGCTGCTTCTCCGGGCACTCGCAATTCGTTCCCTCCACCAGGCTCTTGGTGATCTCTCTGCCGAAGAAGAGCCTCTCGGCGGTGATGCGCTGTGGATCATCGCCAGGCAGCGCCACGTCCAGCGATTCGAAGACCGAGGAGTAGAACCGCGCGTTGCTGGCCAGCTGATCGCGCAGGCTAGCGCCGTTGTTGGCCTCGTACTCGGCCACCGTGACGATCCTAGGGTTTAATCGCTGGACGAGGGAGAAGGCGCGCTTGAGCGCCGGGGCGGGGAGCTGCGCGAGCTGGAGCACGAAATTCACGGCCACGACCTCGTCGGGATCGGTGCGCAGGGATTGCGAGGGCTGGAAGTCGCGGATGGGCTCCAGGATGGGGCAGAACTGGAAATCCACGCCCAGGAGCTTGGCGAAATCGGTGAGGCGGCGCTGCGTGGCGAGCATCGCCGGGGCGGGGTTGGATCCGAGGTGGGGGCTGGGAATGCCAGTGATTCGCAGCGACCGGGGGCTAGGGTTCTTGGCCGGCCATGTCGCGAATGCCTGGAGGAATGCCGCCCACTGGACGCCTTGCATGGTGCCGTAGTCGACAATGTGGATCTTGGGAGCTCCATCGGTGGCCTCGAGCAGCGCCTGGTTGGCGGTGAGATGCGCGAACTTGAGATAGGGGCAGGCATCGGTCAGGGTCTTGTACGCCATGGCTATGGCTTCGGCCTTGTTGGGCGAGGAGGAGGGCGATTCTTCTTCTTCGTCGTCGCCATCGCTGTGATCATCGCCACCTCTTCTGTGGAGCCGAGCTTCCAGTCCAGAGGAGAAGTACCACGCACACTTCTCCACAGCGTTCCCGGATGAGCTCGCCATGGCCTTGAGAGTGGCGAGCTTGTCCATCGCCGGGGATGCTTGGCCGCTCTCCATGTCGTCCAGGCACGACACCAGCAGCTGGACGAGCTGCTCCAAGGCTCCTCCTCGATCTTGCTGCTGCTCCTGGTGGTGCTGGCTACGAAGATTGACAGTGGTAGTACTTACGTGTTGTGGATTCGCGGCGAGGTGTTCGTCTCCTCCGGTGGTGGTCGTGGTCGTGGTCGTGGTCGTGGTGGCGGCGGCGGTGGTAAAGCTGCTGATATCCCACTGCTGTTGATCGCTGGAGCAGCAGCTACTCGACATGAGATTTAGGCCGAAGTGCTCCCTCCAGATGTCGTCCGGGGTGAAGAGCTCGGAGCTGTGCGAGGATTCCGAGGGGTGGTGCTCGGCTACAGCTGCCGCTCCATCGCTGATGCAACTGCTCATCATCAGGTACTCCATCCAATCGTCTGGCTGTTGCTCTTGCTGCTGCGGCTTTGGGTGATTCTTCTGATGATCTTCCTGGTGTGGTGGCGTTGCAGGGGGCGTGAATCCATCCAAGTAGGCCGTGACATCCTCTTCCACGACGCTGCCACACTGGGCGAGCTGAATTGGTGTTTGCTCGCATCCTTGCTGCTGCTGCTGATTGATCATGTTCCAGCAGCTCATGAGATTCATGCTGGGCTGCTGTTGCTGGTGGAGCGGGAGCGATGGCAGCAGCAGCAGATCATCACTCTCCTGGTGGTGCTGGATGGACTGGTGCTGGAAGAACTGCTGGGCGATCATCATGAGGGAAGCCGAGGAGACGCCATCTGTGGAGGAAGTCGGGCTCAAGAGCGCCGTAGCAGTATCCATGGATTGTTCTACTTGCAGAGGCTGACCGGATCGAGCCAAGCGATCGATCCAACATGAGAGATCGCCAACGACGAGCTACTCCTACAAGGTAAGCTCAAGTACACTCTCTGTAAGCCTCTCTTTTTCCTTTTCTTCTTTTCTTCTTTCTGGTATAGCCTAGTGGTAGTGTGTCCCAGCGCTCATAAGCTTGTCCGGAAGATCCATAAATGTGTTGTTTAGAGCTCTCTCTCTCTCTTTCTCTTTCGCTAATCTAAACTATGGAGATTATGCAGTGGAGGTACCTTGGAATGGATGGATTGGATCAAACTTGTGTCGTGAACAAGACTGATTGCGAGATTCATTCATTTTCCATGTCGCAATTCAAAGGAAAGCGACCAGTGAAGTAAAGCAAAGCGATCACCTCCTATTTCTTAAAGTCGCGTCTAGTAGCGTAAAGCTCTCGCCCACCTTGAGGGGGGTCCCATTGCGCTTAGCTTTAGAGGATTTTACTTGTAAGAAATTGGCTATGGTGGCTTAGCTTGGCTTGGCTGGTATGGTCCGAGTGTAAAAATAAAGTATTTTATGAGGAAAAATCAACCGAGGCCACCACCGACCACGTGAAGCCGTACAAGGGTGGCCCAACGGTCACATTTTCGTACGCTGTCAATATAACGGCTCTCTATTTACTGTTACAAAACGGCTAAAACGAAAGTTGGATTAGTGCTAATGGAAAAGGTTATTGGTAATGGGAATTTGCGAGGGAAATCTGGATTTAAAACGAATGTACCAAAAAGCCCTTGGACGTGGAGGGCATATAGCGATGGCGTCGCTGTGCGCTAGTTCAGGTTTGGGGCAGCCATGGCCAGGTAAGTCACAGGTCTAGAAATTTTGGCGCTGGATCGTGATTCGTAACAGTCATGGATGCAGTGCGTCGTGGTTTGTGCAGCATTGGAATGCAAGGGTTTTGCCACTTCCAAGCGAAGGATTGGATCGTCGAGGAGGGGTTTTGTGGTGAATTTCGCGCTTGCTTTGGACAAGAAAAGGTAGCGTCTTCTTCTTTTTCTTCCTGTGTGTGATCGGTCATGACCCAAGCATGAATTTCTAGCTATGGCGCCATGACTGTGCAAGGCACAGGGCGAGCCAATATGGAAGATACTGTCAGCGTTTCAATCGATTCTACGGGATCACAGCCTTCTTTTTTTGGTGTTTTTGACGGGCATGGAGGAATTGCAGTGGCAGAGTAAGCAAAGCTCGATGGATTCTCTCGTTATCTAATATTTTTCTGTGGCTCCACACAGGTTGCTAAAGACGAGACTATGGCCCGAGTACAAGAAAAAGCTCTCTCAAGGTACACTTGTATAAGCTAAAGTTTAAAGAGAAGCTGTATGCCACTGTCTTTTAGGAGGTGGAAACTTCGCAAAGGCCACCAAAAGCGCCTACCTAGAAGTTGACGAGATGACGCTAGCTCAACCAAAAGGACTTTTCGGAGCACTGCAAGAGCGAGGTGTTGGTGGATCGCGCTGTGGAGCCACCGCTGCCACAGCTGTGTTGATGCCTCCCAAAGGTTTGAGAAGTTTTATCACTTGGATATCATCTCCAAAGGTGTTGAGTTTCGATGGTCAGATGGCACACGGGTCTTGGTTGCTGCAAATGTTGGAGATGCTCGAGTTGTGGTCTCAAAAGGCGGTAAAGCTCTCCAGCTTACAGTCGATCACAAGGTTTTGTTCATTGCTGCGAGACTAATGTTTTGCTTGCATGCTGATCGTTGCTCTCGTGCAGCCAGAAGTGGAATCCGAGAGAAAACGAATCGAGGCCAAGAATCCAACGCCAAAAAAGCCTCTGGTTGGCACTAAATTTTCTTTCCTCAGATCCCAGAAACATTTTCTTTACTGACGTACAGGTTGTAAACGTGGGAGGGACATGGAGAATTGGTGGCTTGCTCTCGCTTTCTCGTGCATTTGGCGATGCTTTTCTAAAGGAGTGAGTGAGACACTTGAGTTTTTTTTTATTCTTTCCAATAGTCAGTGAGCTCACGGCTTTGGTCACTGATTAAACAGCTGGTCTGATGGGAAGCCTGATGGTGCTGGAGGTGGCTTTGGCTTGACTGCTGAACCAGATGTCACAATTCAAGAAATCTCTCCCGGTAGAACATACTAGAACTATTTGTAAACTTCTCATACTGCTTTGTGTTTCAAACGCAGATGACAAGGTAGTCATTCTGGGAACCGATGGCTTGTGGGAAACAATGGCGATTCAAGACGCTGTCGACATTTGCTTGTCTGCCCAGTAAGCCAGCTCTCTTTTCTTCTCACTTTTGATCCTAGTTATTTAACAGGGAAAATGATACCTCTCCTGGGGATGTCGCTAAGAAGCTAGTAAAGATTTCGCAAGAGCGTGGATCAACCGACGACATTGCAGTGATTGTAATCTTCCCTTAAATACAAAACATAGTGATTCCTGAACTCACGACATGCAACGGCACATTCTAATACAATGTGACCTCTTTTGACAAGGACATTGAGCAGTGCTCTCCCATGCAGAAAAACTATCTCAACATTTGGCACGGCCGCAAGCTGAGCAAATTTCTTGGTTTGCCAGTGTAAAACGCCGACCACCTTTCTGGCAACGGGCGGTGGTGTACAAGCGCAAAAGCCAGCATTGCGCTACAGAAGCTGCCGAAGCGCTCCAGTACCATATTTTACTTAATTCACAGACGTAAGTTGTGTACTCTTCTACTTACTCCTGCTTATGGTTTTGGTACAAGTTACTCCATGATTAAAACGTTTTCTGGACACTGCGAGATAAGGCAGTTCGGGAAAAGGCTGGCGAAATAGTGCTGAAAGGAGAAGGCTGCTACACCGACAAGCTCATGGCAGGCCTTGATCCCACTTACGTTCTCAATGCCGGCTGTGGTCGACTGATCGTGCCTGAGCCACCTCTGTGAGGACATCCTATTGCGAATAAGGGAGTGGTCCTTGGCGGGCTTAACATTCGAGGAGCTATTACTCTCGAAACCTTTTCCTCGAAGTCACTGCTGCAGCTGAAGCCGAATTGAGGTTTTACTACAAGCCTTTAGACCTTTGCTTTCCAGACGTAGATGGACGACCATCTACAATATTCAGATCAGTTCATGAGCTTGCCATCTCTGAAGCGATGTTGAAGAGTACGTTTCACAGCCATCGACTGACTCCGACGCCGACTCCAACTCCGTTTTGCAGTCGTCAACTCAGTCGTCAACGGATGTCGAAGCAGTGTCCAAGTAAGATGCTGAGGAACGCTGTGCTTGTTGGAACGCCTACTTACTTGATGCATATTCGACATTTGAATAATGTTTAATATTATTTTTCTAACAAAGATAATTGGTAGCAATACCATTGAGAGTTATATGGGCACTCTAGTATATTTTTCTTCAATTGATGTATTAAATCTTCAATTTAATGCTAATGGCCACACACAATCTTAGGGAAAAAAATTCATAATTATTTGTGATTAGAAGGTTGAAGTAATGCATGTAAAGGATTCGGGGAGATTATTACTTAATTGATTTTATTTCAAAGGTGATTAAACAAATGGCCTCAAACAATAGCAAGCAATTTGTGATGGCAATTTTAGGGGGATGTAGACCTTCTAATAAAAGAGGTGGGGTGTTTTGGCAAAAATTTATAAAATTATATAAAAATATATAAAAACAATGCATGTGTTCATAAATTGTTATAATAAACATGTGTGACTTATAAAAATATATTAAACATAATTTTTTTTATGCATGGGCATGCATTTGTGTCTGCCATATATTCATTGCAAAGTTTAAATCAAAACTGTATATACAATTTTTTGCATTGTGTAAATTTTAATTTCATGTTGACATGTCAATAGGGTTTACTTCTAAGCATGATATTTTTTAATGCAAAGAGTTAATTGCTTTCTGGATGTTATTAAGGCTAGTTCCTTGGTGAAAGTAATGAAAAATGCAAACCATATCAATGCTAAACATATTAAAAATGTAAGAATCGATGAAAGTAATGCCTTACCACAATTACAACAAAATCCATTTACTCACAAAGTTTATACATACAACTCAAAACAAAAAAAATAAAAATAAAAATCCACACATATATAAATATATAATGCTCCCACCTGCAATCATATATTCATTGATTTATGCGCTGAAGATTGCCATAGGCAATAACTATCTGATTGTGGGGATGATGGGAAAAGCCAAGAGCTACTTGTCGTCCATAGCCCAAGACTACAGCATGTCCACGATCATGGAACACTTAAGATGCTTGTTGGGGAGATCTGGGAAGATAGACGACGCCAGTGTCGAGCCAAATTTCAGCGCTGGAGAATGAAAGAGTGGGGAAAAGTCCAATGCTAGTGCAGCTCCAACCATTCTTCTCAATCCCTGTCGAATACACTCGAAGGAATGTCCCCGAATGAGGCTCGAATGTGCTCTTGGCACAAGTGATCCAGGCCAGGCCAGGCCACAGCGACGACTAGCGCGTGGATCTCCGCCGGATCTTTCATCTTCTGGAAGATTTCCAGCGCCTGCACTTTCCATACATTTCTATGACCAGATTAGCAAGGAAGCTCGAGTCCGCTGGAGACGATTTTCCTCGTGGATGCGCCTTCATGTGCTCTTGGCACAAGTGATCCAGGCCAGGCCAGGCCACAGCGACGACTAGCGCGTGGATCTCCGCCGGATCTTTCATCTTCTGGAAGATTTCCAGCGCCTGCACTTTCCATACATTTCTATGACCAGATTAGCAAGGAAGCTCGAGTCCGCTGGAGACGATTTTCCTCGTGGATGCGCCTTCCCCCTCCCAGATCTGTGCTCACCGCATTCTCGCCCAGGCGCCCACCGCTGGAGATCCTTCCTGCAAACCTTCGCTGGATGGCACCTCCTCGTCAAGGCTCAAGAACGATGCCATGGAAAACCACCGCCATTGCCATTACACGCTACTGCTGCACATTTTCGATCCAGGGGGCTCTTTACCCGGGCGGTCTGCTGCTGCCGGGCG